TAGTCATTTAAATGTTGGGTGTAAGGGAACCCCAGAAAAACACTTGATTACACAAGATAAATTCACAATGTATGCAAATATGCTGAAAAATTGTCTAGTGGGATGGCGGCCTGTCAAGTCTTATCACAAGACACAAAAAAAACACAAAAAAGATTTGAATTGTTAAACATAAAGACAATATTTGTTTCATTTAGCTGGCTCGAGAAGTCCTTGACATTGCTGCCCTGATGGTGAAACCTGGAGTGATGACGGAGGAGATCGACCATGCAGTGCATTTGGTAAACTTTCACAGCCTTTTTTCGTTTTCTAATCTAAATATTGCAAAGTAGTAGTCTGATCAGTGCAGAGTGTTTAAATACAGATTATCTAAGGGAAATGTGAAATTGCTTATGCATTCAGATGAAAAAAAAATTTTTTTTATTTGCTCTAAATCAGTGGTTCTCAACCTTTTTGACTCCAAGGCCCACTTTGTCCAAGAGTCCCTCCTATTTAAGCTATACATCTGGTACTTTTGTTATAATAAAAAGGAAATAATTAAATAATATGTTGCCAGTTTAATATTTTACATCTTTGTTGTAGCATTTTTTAGCACTTTAATTAACATTGTTAATGTAACTAAATTGAAATAATTTTAAGACATTTTGGGGTTCTCCTTGGAAGTTTGCCAAGGCCTCCTTGTGGGCTTCTGGTTGAGAGCCACTGCTGTAAAGGTCATGGTTCAAGTTGGAATAATGTTTTCTAGTTTTACTTCTGGGAAAAAAATATATAATTTGGACAATTTTTTGATGACTTTTTGACAGTATATATAATAAACACTTGGAATTTTTTTTAATTCTACTGTCATTGTCATTTGAGCAGGACAGCCTGTATGAATGTTGATGCTAATGGCAAATGATTTGTCCATACTTGTTGGTTAAGGCATGTACAGCGAGGAACTGCTATCCCTCACCTCTGAACTACTACAACTTTCCCAAGTCCTGCTGCACCTCTGTCAATGAAGTCATCTGTCATGGGATACCTGACCGCCGTCCCCTCCAGGATGAGGACATACTGAATAGTATGTATCAGCATACAGTAGTATATGAATGCATCTTCCTTGCAAGATTTTTATGGGAGATCTGGTTTTTGCCCTCAAGAGGGCTGTTATAGAATAACACCCTCCCTCTATATTGACATTATATTTCATATTTCAGTCAGTCCAGATGTCAGATAGACATTCACTGGACATTCGAGATTTGTGTGTGACTGATTTTTCCACATGTTCACATTTCTGTGAATGCATTGGCTTGTTCTTGCAGAACTGATGTTTTTTCCTTCTGCTCAGTTTAGGTCCCATTGTCAAAATGCCATATTATTAAAGCTGTTTATTCTTGTTACTGTCATAATAGATAAGTAAAAGAAACAAATGACCAGTGACATGCAGATCTCTTTATTCCTTGCTACATGTTTTGTCATTGGTCAATGGCCACCTTAATTTAAATATCATAGGCTACAGCAACAATAAACTGAGAACTACTTCTATTTACATTTAATGCCAAATTTACACTAAACAGACCTTATGCTGAAGGCAAGATCCAGAGCCAGATGGAATCTGCAGCCTTTTTTTTTTTTTTGCTTTTGCATAGATTGTGAAAGTCTGTGCAATGGGTTTCTGTTAAATGACGAGTAATTTGCTCATAATAGTAGCTGAAAGCATAATCATATTTTGTGTCGTTTTGTGTAGTTTTCTACAGAGTTCTGAGTAACATATGCAGAAATAATCTTCAGACTTAAGGAAAATTGCACTAAATGTTACATGTTCACTTGGCTAATCATATGTAATTTTTTCCCCCTGTAGTCGACATAACAGTTTACCACAATGGTTACCATGGGGATCTGAATGAAACCTTTTTCGTGGGTGAAGTAGATGAGGGAGCCAAGAGATTGGTTCAGACCACTTATGAATGTCTAATGCAAGCCATCGACTCTGGTGAGTATGAAAGCACATGCAAACAACACTAAACCATTCAACAGACTCCATGTGATTTGAGTTTGATTCATTTTTGTTGGGCTAGATTATGTAGTGTACAGTGTATTTGTGTGATGTGATGTACACTAATGATCTTTAGAGGGCAGACTTGTACAGAGGGATATCTTTGTTGTGACCTGAAGAAGGTTGTTTCTGTCTTGTGTCTAGTGAAGCCTGGTATGGGTTTCTGTTAAATGACGAGTAATTTGCTCATAATAGTAGCTGAAAGCATAATCATATTTTGTGTCGTTTTGTGTAGTTTTCTACAGAGTTCTGAGTAACATATGCAGAAATAATCTTCAGACTTAAGGAAAATTGCACTAAATGTTACATGTTCACTTGGCTAATCATATGTAATTTTTTCCCCCTGTAGTCGACATAACAGTTTACCACAATGGTTACCATGGGGATCTGAATGAAACCTTTTTCGTGGGTGAAGTAGATGAGGGAGCCAAGAGATTGGTTCAGACCACTTATGAATGTCTAATGCAAGCCATCGACTCTGGTGAGTATGAAAGCACATGCAAACAACACTAAACCATTCAACAGACTCCATGTGATTTGAGTTTGATTCATTTTTGTTGGGCTAGATTATGTAGTGTACAGTGTATTTGTGTGATGTGATGTACACTAATGATCTTTAGAGGGCAGACTTGTACAGAGGGATATCTTTGTTGTGACCTGAAGAAGGTTGTTTCTGTCTTGTGTCTAGTGAAGCCTGGTATCCGTTATCGTGAGCTGGGAAACATCATCCAGAAACACGCGCAGGCAAACGGTTTCTCTGTGGTACGGAGCTATTGTGGCCACGGCATTCACAAACTGTTCCACACGGCACCAAACGTACCGCACTATGCCAGTGAGTAACATCTTGTCAAAAAGACACCGTCTGAATGATACAAGCATTGCGCACTGAGATGTAATTGAACCTGCAGAAAGCTTGTACACTTAAAGCTTGTACTGTCCTTGTTTTATGTGTCTTTACAGAGAATAAAGCAGTAGGAGTGATGAAACCTGGTCATGTGTTCACTATTGAGCCCATGATCTGCGAAGGTAGAAGACAACTCTCAAAACAATTTCCTTAAATCTTAATTGTGCACTTATTGTTTAGAATTATTATATATATATATAAGAAAAGGATTTTTAAAAATAGGGCTGTCAAAGTTAACGCATTCAAACATGCAATTGTTTTGCTCATTTACTCTACCCTTCAAAGCTTTAGGGTCAGTAAGATTTTGATTTTGTAAGTAATTAATACTTTTATCCAGCAAGGATGTATTCAATTGTGACATAGTGTTCCTGTGGCTCAGTGGTAGAGCATTGCGTTTGCAGCGCAAAATGTTGTGGGTTCAATTCCCTTTTTTTATGCTCAGTGTTCCTGTGTATCATGCGCACAAACTGCTCGACCTGACAATTGCACATGCAAGTTTTCTTCTTTTAACATATACTGTTAACTATACAAATGTGAGATTTGATGTGATTAAATATTGTAATCAATTGAATATTTAAGAGTCTTTGCTCTGTGCAGGTGGCTGGCAAGATGAGACGTGGCCAGATGGTTGGACTGCAGTCACTCGTGACGGTAAACGCTCGGCACAGTTTGAGCACACGCTCCTCGTGACGGAGACAGGCTGTGAAATCCTCACACGTCGCCTTGAGGATAATGGCCGTGCTCACTTCTTGTCCCAAATGTAGGATGGTGGGGTCATACGAGCCCTATTCTGCAGTGGAGGATACAACAGCTCCGCCCCATATCACCAATCAGCCAATCACACAGTGGTTCTCTGTTGAGCAGGAGATGATTGGCCACGTGGCCGTGACAATGGATTTGGGCAGGAGGTGGAGATTTATTAACTTCTGAATGTGTCACCTGACAGTCACATTAATCAGCTTGGATCTGAGTACATTCAAAGGCACTGGCCTTTAACCTGGTTACAGTGCCGCCACACTCTGTCTACATGGCAAAGGTATCTGTGTGAGTGGTTTTGCGTGTGCGCACCTGTGTGTTTGAGCGAGAGCGCGCTGACTGTGAGGTTTGCTTTCTCAGTCTGCTTCAGTGTGTTTGTTTGCCTGGCTCGTTGCAGTGTACCGTGTTTTTGTTAGCCATTGTTGGGGTTTGAGATGCAACGAGTGGATGTGATAAAACACTGGAGTCTCTCCAAATCTTGATTGATATATGAAAACTCTTTAGCTAAAAGAGTGCCTCGTAACGTTATTGAACATTGTATAAATGTTTTTCATTAACTTCTTCCAGTGTCTTGTTTTGAGTGACTGTCTATGAACACCTAGTGTCCTTTCACTGCAGTCATCCTTAGTCAATGAAAAGACGATTTTTGTTTGTCTTTGGTTGTTTAATGCCACTTAAAGAGCAATGCGAAAAGCAGTTGCAGGCCTCTTTGTCTGTTTGACGCATCTCATGAAATCAGTTTCACGGTTTCAGTATTCAAGCTGAATTAAAGTATATTTTCTCCTTTTATTTTTTGTGATTTTTTTTATTTATTTTTAATTTACAACAAATGCCAAACATCAGACAATCATCACAAAGGAAAGAAATTTCAGCAGTGACTTATGAAAGCAACTGAAAAGATCATCCAAGAGATTCATCTGTATTGAATTCTTGTTTGTTTTTGATGAAACATAATTCACTTTTTAGCCAGGCATAAGATTCGTTCCATCACTTCAGTTCTTTCTACACCTTTCAGAAATAGTTACAGTGCTTTAAACTAGTATTGAGTGTGTCTGCGGTAAGTCTGAGCAATCTGTTCCCATCCGATTGTCTCAAACTGTGGCGTAGAAGTTGAGTGGAGATTAAATGATTGGATATATTCAGTACGCATCGAATGCTGTAAGATAAGGGGGAAAAAAGTTAGAACTTTTTCCTTATAGGTTTAACCTGAGGTAAAAAAGTGATAAATGTACCATTGTCCAGTCTTCATGAGGTTGATGGCATCATTGATCTGCTCCAGGTCCATTTTGTGGGTTATAAAGTCATCAAGCTTTATTTTGCCAGTCATGTAGTCACTAACCACATTTTTCACATAAACAGAAATGAATACATGCACAGGCATGTGCTCTCAGAGCCATAGAAAGCATTAACTGACAGCTGGTTTACCTCCTAATAGGGTTCCCTTCCAGGTTTTCCCAGATATGAGTTGAATTTGTCGTGCTGAAAAGTCTACATCAGTATAGCCAACCAAAATACTCACACCCCAGCCTTTTACACAGGACTCCAGTGCAGTTCTCTGAGGTCAAAAACATATTAAATTCACACACACAAAAAAAATTCAAGTACTGAAAGCTTTTAAAGGAGTTAGTAAATGAATGCACCTTTTACAAATGTGTTAGGCAGGTCTTGCCATTACTTCAGTGTTGCCCACACACTCAAGTGAGAAATCCACTCCTCCATTGGTAATTTCTGCCAGTACTTCAGAGATGGGTTTATTATATGCCTTCGGATTCAGAAAATCAGTGGCACCAAAGACCTTTGCCTTCTCAAACTTCTGCTCATTAATATCCACAGCAAAGATGCGAGAGGCTCCAGCGTTTTTACAGCCCATGACTGCAGCCAGACCTACTGCACCCAGTCCAAACACTGCACACACTGAGCCTGGTGTAACCTTCACACAAACACAAGTTACTAGTTACTAGTGTAAGGCACCTTAATATTCACCTTACCGTTCAAGACAACTATTTGAACACTTAAATTACAAACTAAAGTGCAAACTCACATTATTAAAAATGTATTAATTTCCTTGAAAAATGGCATCTGCACTTTTTTAGAGTCTTATTTTTGTCTTCATAAAAAATTCTAGTGGCAACATATGCTCTCTAATAATTTGCATGCAGTACTAACCTCGGCTACCAGGTGACAAGATCAGTTTGTCGAAATATAAAGAGTTTGAATCGTGTAATTACAAGAAGGTTTTGAAAATCTTAAGACAAAATGATATGTAATGTTAGACAGTCTTCTAATGCGGCAAATCTCTCAAGTTAAAAGTTAAGTTCACCCAAAAATAAAAAAATTCTCATCATTTAGTCACTCTCATGTACCAGTTTAGTAACCACAGTATTGATTGCTGTTGACAAAAAAACAGATCTCTCAAAATATCTTGTTTTGCGTTTCACAGAAAAAGGAAAGCCATACAGTAAATTATGATAGAATTTTCATTTTTGGTGAACAATCAGGTTACATTTTTTTTAGCATTTATTGTGGGACAACTGGATTTATGTTGATGTTTGATGACCTTCATCATTGGGAATATCAATGTTGAAAATCAATTGATTTTGCTCTTTTGTTTTAAAAGTTTTTTTTTTTTTTTCTGTAATGCAACATAGAAACATCACATCCGATGGGCAATTCAGAATCTTGTTGGAAGCAGTAGGTTATCAAGGTATTTTTCCCCTACTGATTTATGAAAACTTTACATTTTACATATTACTCATTTCATGTACAGCTTTTTGCATGCTATTTTAGTAGAGAAGTAGTCATATTTAGGTGTGGTCTACGAGTCATTTCACAGATCTGAAATGTTGATTCATAAATGAGCACATCTTTAATGTGTTTTCTCAGAGACTTGCTTGGAACTGTTTTCGTTGACAAAGCAAAAATGCCTTATCACCTGTTCACCACAATATAGAGATTGTGTATATTTTTTTATTTAATTTTTTGTTTTGTTTGTTACAGCAGCATGTACACTAAGAGTTATAGGGAATTAAAAGCTAAAAAAAAATCTATCATTTACTCACTTTCATGTTGTTCCAAACCAGTAGGCTATATATATATATATATATAAGCAGTTTTATTTTAGTATTATTTATATACTATTATAGTAGTTGTTAATATTTTGAATTAGCTATTTTTTATATTTTCAGTTTTAATTTTAATTGTACATTTTAGTAATTTTGTTGTTTTATATTTTTATTAAGCTTTGATTCAGTTTTAGCAATTTTAGTACTTAAACTTATTTCAGTTAGTTGCCAAGGCAACATTTTAAATATATATTTTAAGTTTACATTTTTCAACTAATACTGTATTTATATTTTAATTTATTTCAGGTTTAATTCAATTACTGAAAATGTAATTTTAGTTAAAAATAACAACACTGTGTGATTGGTCGCTTATATGTGCAATTAGGCTTTCAAGCTCCAGAAAGTATAATATAGAATATGCTGAAGCTTTATGTGAGAAAGAGACCAAAATTTAAGTTAAGTGCTAAGACGCATTATTGTGTCATTGAGAACTCAACTGGATTATGAACAAATCAGAATTATGGATCAGCTGATTCAATGAAATGATGTGACTCAAAATAAGTTGATTCATTCACTAATTGGATGTCACTAGACACAAGCCAAGAAAAAGCATCAGTTAATTTCACTGACTCGGTGATCTAGTCGCAGCAGCTATCCCTGGAGGTAAATAATAACTTTGGTCTGTTTTTTTACTCCGAGCTATCAAATGTCTTCAGAAGACTTGAGTGTCATAGGCTATGTATACCTTTATGGTGTTTTTTTCTTGTCCTCAGTCCCTAATAGCATGTAAAACAGTAGCCAGTACATAATTTAAAGTTTCTCCTTTTCTCTCCACAGAAGAAAGAAAGTCACACAGGTTTGGAGTAAACGGGGGTGAATAAATTATGAACGTTCATTTCTTGCTCAATTATGCTTTTTAAAGTAGAAATCAAGACATTTTACTTTGTGACCTGGTTTGAAATCAGTGACTCTAGGTCCCACACTCTCCACCACACCAGCACCCTCATGTCCCAGGACAGTGGGAAAACCACGCTTGTCCTTCCCTTCAAACAGGTGGAAAATCTCGGCGTGACACAGACTTGAAGCTACAATCTATGTGATGGAGAAAATCCTTGTTTGCCTGTACAAGTTAACAGTATTGCATGCTTTATCAACTGATCTGCAAATTAGTTCTTTGGGTTTGTGACAACTTTCATTAGACATTTCCCACCTTAATTCGCATTTCTCTTTCCTGAGGTGGGCCAACTTCTATTTATTCTATTACCAGAGGCGCATTGGGCTCCCAGGCAACAGCAGCCTGACATTTAATCACCTTTAGCACAGAAGAACTTGGTTCAGCATGTTTTTTAGACATTTAATGGTTGATGACTATATAAATGCTTGAGCGGATGCATGATCTCTGCTCTCTAACCGCAGTTAGAGATTGTCCAGCCAATGAAATCATTACATGTTTTTAGAGCCACAAATCTGTGATTTCACTATCACTAAAGATAAATATTAACTCAATAAAAATGCATATAGTATCAATTTGATGTAAAACTGGGAAAATTACAAAAGAACCTCAAAAATTTTTACATTTGTTTGAACAAAAATTGAATTATAAGTTGATTAGATGAACAATATGCGCAAATGTCACTTCACACTTTTACATGTGGCATCCAAACCTCTTTATGTAGTCAATATATATAATTTAGTCTTTATATAAAGAGTCAGTCTTGATATATTGCATTATAGTTAGCAAAGCAGTGCAGTCAATTGTGCATCACAATAATAACATATACATACAAGACTGATCTTGATTTTTTTTTTCATCACTTTAACCAGTGTTTACTTATGATAGTTATACTGGCTAGCTCAAAGCATCCATAACATTCTTATGAGTCTTATTAATTTTGCATTACATTGATTATATGGAATAAAAATTAACTTAACTGTAGATATCTTTGCATTGTAAATTGTTTCCTTATGTGATCAATGGGTCAATGTAAATGAACTTATATGGTATTGGAGTCATATTAAAAATGCATTAACTCTGCAGCACAAATGAAAAAAAGACCTTACCTTCAGTGGCCATTTCCCAATGTAGTCGTATTGCTGAGTTGATTGCAAAGAAAGGCAGAGATTCTCTAGTGTCTGTTTTTATATTCTGGTTTAGATGAAGCTCTCTCTCTCTCTCTCTCTCTCTCTCTCTCTCTCTCTCATACACTGATCTAAAACTTACCATATGAATGTAAAGATATATTAACATTACCTGACATTTAACTGCAGATAGTTACGCTATGGTCTGAATTTGATTTTACGAGAGCTGGTCTCTGGTCTCTGGTCTCTATTGTATTTATTTTTGAGTCAAATAATTACATTTTATTGTGTAATGGATAAATCTCTCTCTCTCTCTCTCTCTCTCTCTCTCTCTCTCTCTCTCATACACTGATCTAAAACTTACCATATGAATGTAAAGATATATTAACATTACCTGACATTTAACTGCAGATAGTTACGCTATGGTCTGAATTTGATTTTACGAGAGCTGGTCTCTGGTCTCTATTGTATTTATTTTTGAGTCAATCTCATAATAAAAACATAAAAAAGCAAACACAGCTGATGCGAATACTTTATTCATCATTTTGCAGAAGTATATTTTGTTAAATTATTCGCAGAAAAGGTACGTCAGACCTAAGTGATTTGATGGCATATGACATAGTAATTATAACTTTCCTATATAGCCTACAGGACTTGAAGACACCATAATACATTTAACAATGGTAGGCCTAACATTGTCATGTCAAATTACTGTATATCTACTCAAATTAAAATTATATTTGTTTAATTGAGAGTACACTGTAAAAAATGATTGTGATTTTAACAGTAAAAGACTGTAAACATGCTACAGTAAAAACCTGTTAATTGGTTATCAGTAAGTTTCCATACTATATTCGGTGAATAACTGTAATTACATTTAATGTAATTTTACAGTAAAATACTGTTAAAATTACAGTTTTTGGAAGCGAAAAAGAAAAAGTCATGTATAATTTACAGTGAAAAACTGTAAATTGACACTCCCAGAATTCCCTGCATGACACTTCATATTTTATGTTTTTTTCTTAGAAATAATATGTTTCTTCTTAGTTTTTCCTTATCAGTTGTGTACATTAGTGTTTTATCTTACATCTAATGTTGTTAAATGAATGTTTATTGCATTATTTCAGTATCATGTGTGTTACCATGTTGGTGATTAGTGTTTGTGTGAATGACACTGTGCACCTTCTATGTATATAGATATTAGTATTTCCCTTCTCAGCTTTTGGAAGAGCTGTTTGTGATGAGCTTTGATTCATCATGTGACTTTCTCATCACCACCTGTTTTTGGTGGTTATCAGCATTACAATGGTTCAAAACATATAATAGTACTTAAATTTGCTGGTTTATTAACATTACATCAGTTAATGAAATACGTTTTTTTTTATTGTGAATTTAAGTTAAGTCTGTAAAACTTAAAATGTTTCTACTATATTTTTAACGGGGAAGGTCTGGCAACCACAGCTGCCGGTATTTTACCGTAAATGTCACAGATTTTTTTTTACAGTGTACTGTAATAAAATTAACTAAACTTTTAGTTTAAACAATGGTTACCATAGAGAATTGAATGAAACATTTTTGTGGAGGGAGCCAAGAGATTCAGACCACTTATGCATGTCTTATGCAAGCCATCGACTCTGGTGAGAATTAAAGCACATGCAGGCAAACACTAAACAATTCAACAGACCCCATCTGATGTGAATTTGACAATTTATTTGAGCTGGATAGGCTGTCAACTCGCGAAATTGACCAGTTCTCACGCTCTCACGCCACACAACCATTTTCTCATGCAGTGAAAAACAACCCCAAACGAAAGCAA